GCTTATATTTAGATAATGATCGAATCTATACTTTAACGATCATTTTATAGTTAGAGTCTAATAGCATAATAATTAGTTAAAGCATAATAGTTGGTATAAAAGGAGGGATTCTTTCTTGTACTAGTTACACTTTAGAGAGTATTTTCTCTTGTCGTTGTGTATTAAAGTAAATTACGGGTTTTGTATTTAATGCTTGCTACACTGAGTTAAATCTGGTTGAAAGATATAAAAGCTCTCCCTTGCCATAACAAAGTACACTACTTTGCAAGAAAATTTATTTGAATATTTTTATTTTATCATACTATTTTCTGTAAAAACTCCATGAATCTGCAGCATGATTTGGTAAGCTGAATAATTCTGACATCCGAAGGTATAAATTCCATAGATAAGCAACATTTATAGATAAAACATGGAATAGAAAACATGTATTAACTTTTTTTATAAGACTGAAAAATTAAAAAATTCAGATATGTGAATATTTTTTTAATCTTGACTCGTGGTAATGAGTTAGTACTTGTCTATGCTGACTTAGAATTTTGATGATTGCACTATGAACAATTTATAAAATAAATTGTAGATTGTAGATTTTAAACATGTAGAATAATTATTTAATATCTCAATCTAAATTAACGTGAAAGAAGGTATTGTACATCAGTTATGTGTTTATACTGTATACTTGGCTACAGGGTTAAATTTGGCTAAATTAACGTGAACTAGAATTGTATTTACGAACTTATTTACAAATTCTAAATATATAAATAATAATAATAAAATTTTTATTTCTCAATCAAAAATTGATACAAATAAATATTTTTATAATTTGACCTTTTATATTTATATTCTCAAAACAACGCACACATTTCCAAAATTAACTTTGCACAATTACGCAATCAGAGTGATGTGAGCTACAATATACAAAATTTTTTCTAATGTATATAATTTTTCAAACAGCTATAATTGGCATTTACAAATATTTCAATTAAGTTCATTGTATTTTTATATTACTGTATTCTTCCTACAAATACTTGATTTCCATAAATCTGATCGCAGCTTATATGTGATCGTATCATTGTGTATTATCAATGTTTGAATTAATAATTTTTTGTAAAAATTTATTTAGTAATTTGAAATATTTCATATTCCTCTACTGAAAAATATGATTCTTGACAATAACTACTAAAACTATAAAGTTGGTATTTATCTGCGTTTCTAATTAGTTTTTCATATGAACATATTTGTCTACACCAACATTTAGCCTCTAGATTAAAATTATCGCTCATAACAAGATCATAACCAGCTCCAAATATTGGTCCAAAGCTACTTTGACTGTAAATTGCTTTTTCTGGTACCTTTATATGATTTAAAACAGAATTTTGAATATTACCATTTTTCAATGAAAAAATAAAGCTTCCTTCGCAGTAGTCTTGTTTAAAATTTTGTTTATCCCAACCAATAGGATTGTATCCACCAAGAATTTCATCAGTGCCCTTAACTTTCATAACCACAACAAGATGTGTTTATTTCTCACATAATTTCCAAAACGAAGCAGCAGTAAAACCATCTCTACTACCACGAAGGAGTAAATTAAAATTATATGGATTATCCGTTACTAAGTATGTATGATCTTTTTTATCTATCCATGAAGCAATCTCCGCTGCATGTGTTTCATTAATAACCGTTGAAAATGGTTCTACGTTTCTAGTTGGTAATGTCGGTTTTAAGATTATTCGAGGCGGGAGAACAGTGGATGATATTGGTTGATTTGCCATATATTTTTTCATTATATCCTTCCAAAGTTTTTTTTCAAGAATTTGATGATAAGGTTGTACACTGTTAACAATATCATTACCAGACATTTGAAAATAACGGATATGAGGTAAAAAAATTTGTAAAGTAGACTTTAAAACCATAAAATTCTCATTAGACCAGTCTTCAGGATCTGAAGGTAAGTCAGGATTTTGTGCAATTCCCCATTTTATAATATAATTCCAAATTTTTACTTCTTCCAGTTGTAAATCATCACGACTAATAAGTGAAACTAATGCATTGCCTTGAAGTGAAACGAAATCTTCAGAATCAAAAATCTTATTAGGATACTTTGACACAATATTATTACACCATACTTGTAACTCTTGAAGATTATTATTTTGGAAACTTGTTTGATAAACATGACTGAAATGTAAACGAAGCCAATGTGCCTCTACTTCAATTAAATGAGTTTGAAGGTATTTGGCCAATTCTTCACAAAGAAATTCATAAGCAATAAGCATGAGTTCAAAGAGAAATGATGCAGCATGGTTTTTGAGTGAGACAGTTCCTCCATAGATATACCTTTGTATTAAATTTTATATTTTTTTAGATTCCTCCTTGTAACATAATTATAAATCATAATATGGTATAAAATAACTTACTTGATAATAATTTCAAATTGTTGGATGGAAATATTTTTTAAATTAAGTGTTTTAATATTATTTTTGTCTTTGTTGATAGTTTTTAATTCATTGTTAAAATATGAAGACCGGTATCTTAAAATTGCCGAATGTGCTCGAAATATCTTTTTGTTTGGTGGTTCGCCAACATTAATGACTATATTAAAATCTTCATGATCATCAAGAAGTTCAAGATAATTATTTGAAAGTTTTTGAAAGAAATTTAATTCCATTTTTTCAAGTGTAAAATTTTAATGATCAGAACTGGTAAAGGTAAGAAGCGTTTGGAAAAAAACCTTACGTAATTTTGTATGCGTATGGTAGTACATGATTCTGCCAAAAGAATTTTTGTGACACATGTGTGAGATGTTTGAATATAACAATAACTTTAAAATTTTACATAAAATGGAAAGATCAGATTTTATCTGAATTATTTTCATTGCACAGCAGGTGGCAGAGATCACGGTCATATTCAAGATTAATAAAAATCCTTCCATAATAGTTTTACTAATGACACGTTAATATCTCTTAATTTATTATTGATTAACGGCACCCGCTTATTGATTTAACTAAGTCCATTTTCAACTCAAAATTTACGACAAACATAATTGTCTTTCTAGTTTTTGATTTCATATTCTAACGTAACTAATCGTAATAATAGTAATAAATTGTTTTAAGTACATATTAATTCGAAGTTAGAAATTTAATTAAATTCTTTGATAAGAAATTTTGTGACCAAAAACTAACATTGGCAAAAAATAATAAATTTTATGTTAATTAAGCATCTATTTTCATAACACTTCCAAAATTTACTTTTCAACAAAGTACAAATGTCGATTCTAATTTTATCATGTTCATGAAGATGAAAATGATTCAAAATTATTGACCGTTGTATTGTATTGATATAAATATATATCTTTTTATGATTTCTTTTTTCATATATATATATATGTAGCAATACCATTTTTTGTTACGTACTAAATTTTAATTTTTAGCACTGCGTTATTGCCACCTTTGATAAATTTCAAATTTTAACGTTGATATTTTATTTGAAATATTTAAAAGTAAATAGAAATCATCAAATCAGAGCCTTAATTATTCGCTAATCGCGCGAGTTGTGCACTGCCATATTTATTTATATGAATTATTCAAAACTCAATAATGCAAAAAATATTTATTGTGAATAACCTTAATATAAATTGCTAGTTCATGACTTCATTTAAAATTCCGTAACATTCTGATGTTGATAAAAATAAACAATACGATTGTCAATCTTTTTCAAAATAACAATGCATTATATCAAAATAATACTTTATTGTCAATATTAGTATTATAATTACAGATCACGACTACCAAATAAATTTAACAGTCATAATTACAGATCACGACTATCAAATAAATTTAACAATCATAAAAAATATCATGTGCAGCAAACATAAAGATGAAGGTAAAAAAACATTTATATATCGTGCTACTGTGGTTCATACTCATTAAATTTATTTTGTTTATAATTTTTAAATAAAACCTTTGAATTTTAGAAACACATGTTTCTCATTTGGTTAAAAGTCTTTCGATAGGTGAAGATGGTTGGAAAAATTTCGATAATCAAACAATGGATGTGGAATATACAAAACATGACTCTAAGGATAATAATGTGGATAATTGGGAGCCCAATCGTTATGAGGTGGACAAAATTATTGCTCATAAGGTGGTGAATGTAAGTGTATTGCATAAATTTCTTTATTACATCTACTTTATTATACGCTTATTAATTATTTATAGGGCCAAGATCTTTACCTGGTTATGTGGAGAGGATATTCCAAAGACACGTAATTTATTTATTTTTTATATCATTACTTATTATATTCTATTTAATAATTAAGCCTTGTTTTAATCATCAGTTGGGAACCTGTTGAAAATCTCGATGACTGCCGCGACAAACTATATGAATTCCATAAACTCTCTAATGAAATAAAAATGAATGAGCAACATCATCTTGATGAGTTGGATCCTGAAGAAGAACACAATATGTTTTTAGATGCACTCCATGATTCTAGCCATATTAACTTTGATCTTTATGATAAGATCATTCTTGGGAGAACAAGGGATTATGATTATTTGTCTGAACCTAGAATTGAAAGGTTTGTGATTTTTTATTTGTTAGTAATGTGTATGCGAATTACTTTTGTTTTATTTATTTCTATTATATTCTCGAAAAGTGTTCCTATCGCCGAAATTAGTGAAAGAAACCAAAAAGAAAAAGAAGCAAAACAGCAAGATCAAAGTGACTAGTTTCAAAAAAAACCTATTCATCAAAAATTCTAATGAATAAATTTGTTTTGTGCTTGCAAGTGCAATGCTATATTTATTATTCTTACTGTATAGGTCTTTAAAGACATCTAAATTTAGTAATAGCTTTTATGCAATAGAAACGTTTACGTCATTAGATGAATACTAAAACTTTTATTAAATAGTAGGATGAACTACCTTCAAATTTATATATACTAACGTTTTCAAAATAAACTGTTCTATATATCAGAGTTAGTTTAACCCGAGGCATTTGATATTAGTGTAAAGTTTAATAACTTTGATATAATCACAGATTAGTGACATGACCCGGTTGATAGTGCCTATATTGGAATTGATTTTTTTTATATTCTAAAATAAATGGTAAATCAATTCACAAGTTTAATGTCAAGTAACCATATGTTAGGCTAAAAAATATATGCCTGAATTAAAAAAATTACATTACAACTAGAGTTATGTATAATTTAAAATTTCTTATTATTTAAAGTTTTATTAAAAGAATTAGATTCAACCTTTCAAAAAAATTTGTAATACTCTAATTAGAAATGTTCTTTGCGTGAGATACTAATGCCATCCTTACACGATTAAATTACATGAGACTATATTACGCGCGTCAAATTTTCCTTTACGAAGTCACACGATAATATGTGTGTCAGGGCTATATTTGAATAATTAACTTGAATGCTTGAAGTCTAGTTTTCTTTGGCGTCACTCATATAGTATCTAGATACAAATTTGCTTTAAATAATGTTTTTAAAAGCAAATATGCTTTAAATCATAAGTCGGCTATGTACTTCAAACCAACTTGAGCATCATAGACAGAAGTTCGTCTGATTGGCTAATAAATTCAATTTGATTTTACATTATTTATAAAGTAAAAAAAACATATACAGTAGAAGGTTTCATTAGAGTTGTAGGACTCCATAGTCAAAAATAAGATCTAATTCTCGTCTATTTAAAAAAATTAGCTTTGTAATAAGTTGATTTTATCGGGTTTTGAGAAGTTATTGCTATGCTACTTTTTTAAACGGACAAGAATTAGATCTTATTTTTGGCTATGGAGTCCTACAGCTCTAATGAAACCTTCTATATGTATTTTTTTACTTTATTGTGGTTGGTTTTCGTTTTTTAAAAAGTACTCTAAACTGTATAAATAATGTAAAATTAAACTGAATTTATTAGCCAATCAGACAAACTTCTGTCTATGAACTTTAGCATGTTTGTTTTGAGCATTTGATATCCCAAACGATTATATAGTAATTTCGACATAAGGTTACTAAAAAATAAAGACTGATTAGTGACTTTTCTAATATCCGTTACATATAAGAATGTAAGAATAGCCAAGATTACATTGTCATGTTCTTAAAAACTAATAATGATAATCAGTTCGTGCACGGCACTATTAAAACCATTGTGGCTGATTTTGATCGGAATCTAAATAATAGCCATAACTTTGGTCAGATTTGCAGAATTTGACCAGAGTTATATGTAATCGGTTTACTATTTGCAGTAATACATCGATAACCGTATCTTAATTTATTATAAAGATATAGCTTTCAATCAGAAACTATGTATTAAAAGAATTTGAGCATACTTAGATAACGAATATAATAATGAAGACGAACTGTTAATGGCTAGATAAACGACGCACCGAAAGCCTGGCACCAAATAAAGGAGGGCATTGATCAATTACTAAAAATTAATACTGATGATGTTTTTTCTATTTCATGGGTACTATGCTATACTAAATCAGTGCGTACTTTTCATTGTTGTGATAAAGATTAAATTAAATGTTATTTTAGATGTAAATATGGCATATTGAATGATTTATATCGTACAGGTGATTGAAATCATAAAGCATAACGCATTGTGTAAGTTAAAAATCAGAGCAAATGTTATTGCAAGCCTTTGATAATTGATGCAAATTATCATAGAAATATATGCAATCTTATAATATAAAACATAATAGAGCATTTGTTTAATAATTTCTTCTAGTTTAATGCAAATTATTTATTTGATTATGTGCATCACAAGGAACAGGTAAACTTCTATAATAAATCATGATTCACATAAGACATATTGTGTTTATAAAGGTTAATAGCATTTAAAGAAGCTATAAATTATGTATTATAAAACTGAATAAAAAATGTAAAAAATGTTTAAATATGTGCGTAATTTAAAACGGGTCTAATCTATGTAGTATTACAGCCACCACAGTCAATAATTTTTTGATCATAAATACAGGTTGTGCAGGTAAATCCACATTCATTTTGACTAGGAACTGGACAAGAAAAAATATACTTCTCCACGTTTCCAAAACACTTAATATCAATATTAGTTCCAACTGAGCAAGTAACATTATAGGTCAAAGGATTTGGAGTACAAGTAACGTTAGGTATAGTAGCACATGTATAAGAGGCAGGATTGAGTTGGATGCTAAGTGAACATGTTGAGCCTACTCCTGTAGGACATTGATTAGGATCAATCTGTCTGGCAATCAATGGAGAAGTTAAAACGACCTCCGAAAAAAATCCGAGAATGAATATTTGCAATAAAAAAGTGAGTTTCATCTAAAAAAAAAAAATGTTGAGAAAAATGAGATAATAAAAAAAATTGATAATAGTAACCAAAAAAATTATACACACCTTTAGATATAACTTTACGCGTCAAATTTTTTTGTTGAAGGGAAGTGAAGAAAATGAATGATATTTATAATAATCTGTACAAAGAAACTTGAATACCTTTTAAACAAAGGTAAATATGTACGCACTTTAAAGAATTATAATATTTTTGTCATCTCAAATTAATAAATTTGTGTAAAAATGAAATTGAAAAAAATAATATGGTATATACATTCGTTGAACGTGCTTTGTTCAAATTAATTAAATTTACGTACCGATAAGAAAAATTTTTAGCCTATAAGCGCATACTGTGCATAAAACACTGGTATGTATGCATTTTAAACAAAGAGCTTTGTCGTTTCCTCAGATTAATAAATAATTTTTTTTTAAAAAAACAACAATATTGTATACATACGTGCGCTCTGCATGCATATTTTGCTTACAAGCATCTATTGTATGTACGTAAAATCTAGTAACGGTAAGAATTCTATCTATTGTATGTACGTAAAATCTAGTAACGGTAAGAATTCTAAATACACTACAATGGACCAGCATGGATTTATGGCTGTATTTAAGTTGACTGTAATAGCCAAAAGTTAACCAAATTAAAATTGACATTGCTAGTTTACTTTTTTTAATAAGTGTTTACAAAAGTTTATTAATATTTATTATTATACATTCTTAATAATTATATAGTCAACTAGAAAGCATTATATTGCAGAAAGTGTACAGATATGAAAAATCTGCAGATTACAGGAATGGTAATACTAACACTAAAAACTCATGATCTAGCTTTGTTAGTAATGTATTAAAATGTAACGAGATGGTATATAAAATCAAAGATAAATCATTGTTATTAGTGAACCAGTAAAAATCCGAAATGGTATATAAAATCAAAGATAAAATCATTGTTATTAACGAACCAATACAGAATCTGAAATGGTATGTTGTTATTAGCGAACAAATAAAAAATATGGATTTAATCACCAAAAGGAAAATCATTACATGTAACAAAAGAAAAAAGCCAAAAATGGGGAACGTTAAAGCTAGGTGCGTTAGAATTACTTTTTTAGGATTAGTGGCCTAGAAGATATTAAAGAATATAATTTATGCTGTATGTAGATCAATATCTTTAAACGCACCTGGCTCTAACTGTTCCCCAAAAATGGAAATTTTCGATCGCACCTTTTTGTACAGTTCTATGGTTTTATTGTTAAGTATTACATAGTGCAAATGGTAACCGCAGATTCTAATTGTAAGTATTTTTTATTGATCAACTAGAACTTGATTATGAAGGCGATTTCATCACCCATAGGGCTAAGGATACATTTTTAGCATTTGCATGGGTGGTATAAATATTTAATTAGTGATGTTGAATATGAATGTGAATATTGTGTTTTTAATAAACAGGCATTATCCTAGACTGGTTTGATACGTATGAAAAGAAAAAAAATTGAATGATTAAAATATTGAAAATATAATTTTGCTTAGTCTATGATTTAGCAGAAATTGCTTATTTAGTAAAGATTGTTGCTTTATTTAATTAGCACATAATAAATAAAAAAGATAAATTTTTCTTTCGTTTTAGTTCACTTATAGCTTGTACTGTACCTGATTACATAATTTCTTAACAATCTAGAAATAGTCAATTCTTTCGTTATGGTCTTTCCTTATAGTCTTTGACGATCACTAACTATCAATCATGCCGGCAAAAAAATCGAAGAAAAAAAGGTCAAAAATACTAAAAATACAGATATATGTACATATCAATCGTAGATGAAATTAACACAAAACGTCAAATCTTTTTTACTCATCGTGTCTGCGATCACGTACATACGTGTGGCTTCATGCTACCAAAATACGTATAATAAATTTACAAATGAGAACTTCCTTTCTTGGAATTGTGATCGATGCACTACTGAAACACAAAATTATAGAATGCGTATTACGTATAATGTCATGCGCCATTTATAGAAGTGAGCACCCAAATTTAGTGATAAATTGTTAAATAAATTGTTAATAATATTTTACTTGCTACTGTTAGACTATTTTGGTTAGTTCCAATCTTAACTCTGGATCAACAAAATTGGTTCAGCAGATTCTCCATTTTAATTGGCTAAGAGTGACACTTAACTTCATAGGCAGAAGTTCGTCTGATTGGCTAATAAAATCAATTTAATTTTACATTATTTATACAGTTTAGAATACTTTTTTAAAAAACGACAACCAACCACAATAAAGTAAAAAAAACATATAGAAGGTTTCATTAGAGCTGTAGGACTCCATAGCCAAAAATAATATCAAATTCTCGTCCGTTTAAAAAATTTAGTATAGCAATAACTTCTTAAAACCCAATAAAATTAACTTATTACAAAGCTAATTTTTTTAAACGGACGAGAATTAGATCTTATTTTTGACTATGGAGTCCTACAACTCTAATGAAACCTTCTATACGTTTTTTTTTTTACTTTATTATGGTTGGTTTTCGCTTTTTTAAAAAGTACTCCAAACTGTATAAATAATGTAAAATTAAATTGAATTTATTAGCCAATCAGACGAACTTCTGTCTAAGACACTTAACTCTGGATCAACAAAATTGATTCGGCAGATTCTCCATTTTACAGCTGTTCTCATAAATTCTGGAACAACTGATAAAAATTTGATCTGCCGAATTCGATAAGTTTTTGGATTCGGTGTTATCGGAACTAGATTTTCGGCATTACAGTAATTCGATAACACCCAAATTCAAAAACTTATCGAATTCGGCCGATCAATTTTTTATCAATTGTCCCAAAATTTATGAGAACAGCTATAATTGGCTAAGAGCGACAATCAAAGTTTTTTGCCGAAATTACTAATGAACTAGACGTTTGAGTTGCTTAAAGGGAGTTAGTAATTAGTGTAATATATTGTATCGTGCAGTACATCATATAACAGATTTTGATAAACATTTATGTATTTATATTTAAATTAACAAACCTTGAATAAATATACTTGAAGGGTGAACGATGACCTTTATTTTTTTTTTTAACCTCCTGACCTGATCGTCAGTGGATGTCGTGTGACGTTCTTTATTAATAAACTAGAAATTGGTCATGTAGGCGGCTTCGCCGCTCAGAGTTCAAAATTTAATATGAAAATTTTAATTTAGATACACTATAACAAGGTTCAATGATATATATCAAGGGAGTTTGATTGTTATTTATGTTTTTTTTATAATGTTTTAAATATTTATTTATAGCTTAGTTTTGTAGATTTAAAGTCAAGAATATAGAATTTTTTAAGTAATAGTAGATAATTTTATGACTTGAGATATGAAAAGGTGATGGATGATATTGAGTGTAGATGAGTAGGTTTAAATTTTAATGATAAATGAATATGTGATCTAATAGTAGGTAGATTTGTATTGTGGTTTATTTTATAGATAATTCATGATTTAGTGAAGATAGGTTTGTAATTTAAATAGGGATTAATTCTTGATTTTATTAGTGGATGGTTTATAACTTTATATGTAAATGTGTTTAAGATTTTGATAATGGGTGAGTTTATAGTTACAATAGTTTGTAGGTTTGTGATTGTATTTGGAAATGAGTTTATTATTTTAATATTGATACTTTAACAGTGGATAAGTTCATGAGTTTATTATTTTAATATTAATATCTTGATGATGCGTATGTATATGATTTTAATGATGGGAGTTTACGATGTTAATTGTAGATTAACGGTGATTTAAGAGGTAGTTTTTTTATTTTAATGATAAGTGAGTTTGGTTTTTTAATAATAGAAGAGGCCAAGGGTGAGTTTGTAATTTTAACGACATAAGTTTCGATCTAATAGAGAAAGAGGCGAGCCTTAATTTTCTCCACCACTTGATTGCTGTGCTAATAAGTCATTTATTGGCATCAATCAAATTTCAAGATCAGGCGCAACATAAAGAGGTGCAAAAAAATTATAAAAAATATTAAATTGTTTATAACTTTATATTCGATTCATGAAGCTATCTTTTGCATATTAATAAAAAAATTGGCTTGTATAGTTTTAACGTGAGTAATATGTTTTAAACATAATTTAATGGGCAAATATCAACTTTAACATAACAGCGCAAATTTTTACTTGAAAAATTTTTTTTGATTGAATAATTAATCAGCAATGATAAGTGGTGGGGAAATCGGTAAAGTCTAGAAAGAGTGAGTTATTGTTTTAATAATGAGTGGATAAATTTAAGGATGATGTTCATGATCCAATGACGGTTATTTATTTGTATAAAGATTTTAGTTAGATTTGTTTGGGTGTTTTATTGATGTTTTGATGATTTAATTAATTAAAAGGATTTGGTTTGTGCGGGAAGTACGGGTCTTTTGTTACTTTATTATAAAGATGAGATGCTATATATGTTAATTATAGTTAAGTTAATCGATTATATATTTGTTATAGTGATAATAGAATTTTGGTTTATTTTAACATGGAGTAGGTTTGGAATTGATTTAAAATTATGTAGATTTTAAATATAAAATAAATTTATTCGGTTATTAGTATATATTTTCATTTTTATTTTTTAAAAAATATGTTATTCAAGAAAATTCTTACCAAAATTTAAGTGAATAAGTTGGGTATTTGACATTATTTTTAATTGATTGAAACATTGAAAAAGATTTCTTATATGTTTGAAACATTTTTAGACATGAATTTGATACTTGATCTCACCTTCGAAATATGAAAGAAATTATGACAATGGTGAAGGATAATTGATTTGTCTTCTTCAATGTTAGGTTTTGTGTAATCTAAGTGGATAGATCAAAGATACATAATGAATCGATAGACAACTTGATATCATTGAATGTTTTGAACTCAAAGTAGAATAGATAATGCGAATTAGAGGAAGGATCTTTAAGTAATGAGTCCAAACAGTACTTATGTAATTAATAGATTGCAAATTATGATTTTTAAAA